AACCATGCACTGGTTCTTGTCAGATTAGTGGCTCCCTGACCGGCTTTCTGCCTGGGAATGTGTTTAGCAGTATGTTTATGTCTTAGGACACAAAGGACACCAATACAGTACAGCAAACCCACTTGAAAGAGAACTCTAGAAAGTAGATTCAAATGAAAATTCAAACATTTCTAAAAAATTAAATCTATATATTAATCAATAAATAAGAGAGTGGGAAATGCAACGAGCCATTACAAGAATCTGTTAGATGTGCAGTGAATGATTAAGTGTAAAGGGTAAAGCACCAAATGAAGGGTTGGCGAGGAAGAATCTTTAGCACTTTGCACACACCTGAAACCATGAACACCTATAATAAAGATGCAGGAAATTTCAAGATGTAACAGAGAACACGGGTACAGAAAGTATCACTTCATGAAAAGGGATAATGTATCTCCCAATGGATATTTTAAAATATAAAGGCAGAAAGTCAGTGCTGTAAGATACTTACAATTAGGAAAATTACATTTTTCTCGTGAGTCAAATTAACATCTTTGAACTCCCTCTCTTTACTTGTGACTCTCTCTAGAACATTTCAGTACTTATTTAATGTAAAAATAAGTTCCCAGCTGAGAATGTAAACTGTCATCATTCTGCCAGGAACCTAATTTGTTAACAACTCAAGTGGCCACATGACGCTAACTCCAGGACTACCACACCACTGTTCCCTGGGACAGAATCCCACAGACAGCCCCTGTCCTCAGAGCCTCCTGGCCAGAGAACGCATGGTGGCACTTGCTAGCACTTTGAGTGGGATAAATTCAGCTCCAAGGAAGAAAAAGGATATGGTATAGCGGAATCGGAAATCTTTCCAACTAATTAAGGAGCCATGTGGGAGTTGTGCTGGCGGCGTTCTCATTTGTAAAGGAAGGAAGGACGCTTTTGCGAATAATAAAGAAAAGCAAGGGAAACAGTTTGCTGAATGCACATGGATTTGGAACCGAGTCTCCCCCCTAACCATGCTGCCCATGAAAATGAGGTATCAAGCTTTTTTTCATGTAAGACCCTTCAGGTGGATATGATTTTTCAAAGGTCAAGATCAATATGACATCAAAGCCCCTTTATTCTCTGAAGACAAATACTATCAGAGCCTCCAAATAAATAAATCAAATTAGCAGCTCAACTAGCTAAATTTCTTGAAGAAAGGTTGCAAAACAGGTGGTGGCTGCTGCTTTTGTCTTCTTAACAGAATAACAGGATTTTTACAGACCATTGTGGCTGTCACTCCAGATATTTCCTCTTTGCTTTGCCATTACTCTGATAAAATACATTTCTTAAAATTAAAGACTCAATTACATGAGAGCAGCAACCTGCTTCCCCATCCACCTCCCTGAGACAGTGGGTCCATCATGGCCTAAAGACACACACTCCTGACCAACCTAGCAACTAAGAAATCCCTTCATCCCCAATGAAAGACACTTAGATAATAACACACTTACATAATAATACACTTACTTACAGGGAAATCAAGGCCAGAATTCCAGAGGGAAAAGCATATTGAAAATTTAAGTTCTAAAGTGATCTGTGTTTATGCCAAACACATGTATACCTACACCTGCCATCAATTGCTGGAAAAGCTGAGGCAACATGTTTAACATATGCCTCAATAAAATACATAACGTAATTTTTAAAAGATGATGTCATGTATACTCAAGTGACAGCATTCAGAAAAGTGCAAATTATGCCCCCCTCTTCTCATTTCACTAGAATAAGGGCTGGACACCCGTAGTCACTCTTACTCCTCAGAGTCCCATGTGAGTACTATTGTATTCTCAGCATCACGGTACCGAGGATGCCATGCATGGGCTGAAATTCATATCAGCAGAGACACAGATATGGCCACACGATACTCATTCTCCCCTGGACAGATAGAATATACATAACAGATTACTACAGGTTAGAACAAGCAAAGAAGACATCACAGCCTTCCAGAGAGAAGGACAGAACAGAAACACACAGAAACATCATTTCTTCAAGGTGGCCTTTTATCCTTTCTCTCCTTCTGATAGAAGCTGGCCTCATCCAGGACCTGACTCACCTGCTCCTTCTCCCTTGCACATTCCCTTCCTTAATCATCATACCCTCAGGGCAATGAGGTTCTGATCTGCATCAGACAGTCACAGGAACAAAGCCCAGGGTCTGTTGATCTGAGACACAGTTTTAGTCAAACCAGAGACAATATCTAGGTCTCAGTTGTGTTTCAGCTCCAGGCCCAGAAAATCTGGGAAACCAGATGAAGCAACACCAGGCTGACGTAGGACCAGATGCAATGACCAATGACCCCCCTATTGCAGCGCCAGCCAATCAGTAGAAACTGTGACCCTAACTCCCTTAGTCACCATGACTGATGCTCCCCTACCCCCCAATATAATCCATCCCTGAAAGCCTCTGGGAGCCAGGTCTTTGAGCATTAGCACACCTGTGTCTTTAGTCCTCAACTAATAAACTCTTCGTGGCTGCAAAGTTTTGTTCCTATCTAATTGGGCGTTGATGTGTGTAGGCAAATAGAACCCGTTAGTCCAGTAACAAAACCTATGTAAACAGTGAAAGGGGTACGGGCATGTAAGGGGTTAGAAAGAAAAGAGGGGCAGGTCAGAAGCATCTGGTTTGTTGAGAGAACAATTATAATTGTCTGGCTAGGAAATAGACAGTTTAAAAGTTTATTTGGCACCACTCCACGTCCACCCAAATTCTTCCTGAAGGTCTTATTATGGGAGAAACAAGTGTAGTAACCACAATCACTTTATTTGCAATGGCCTGAAGTGTGCTTGATTGCAAACAGGACTTGAGTGGATTGAAAAGGAGAGCAGGGCTTGGTGCCAGCCTTTGTCTCTGGTTATACAAATTTGGAAGATTAGACTGATTTTTAAAAATGATTTATACAGACTAAGAAGTGTATGTGATAATCCTTCATTTACAAGGAAAGATGAAGGATCAATGGCTTGCCAATTTAAACCTCAGAGTGAACGCTGAACACCAGCACATTCTTAATGACGACTATAAAAGGTATTCATTAGTGCTGGCTTCTTTTACATAAAAATATGTTGCTAATGAATATAGAGCAGTGAAAATAATATCAATATTAATTGGTTAGGCATTCATGGCAGATGGTACTGATAACTACAAAATAAGAGGTCCCTCAAAAAGTTAAGCTTAGAATAATGATATGACCCAGAAATTTCACTCCCAGTATGCTTTCCCTCTATTAAGCACTTGTAAGATGCAGAGGTAAAAAGTTAAACAGGGTCAACTATGTGGTGATGGAAGAAGATTTGACTTTGGGTGGTGGGCACACAGTGCAATGGACAGATGAGGTGTCAAAGCATTGTACACCCCAAGCCCATATAATCCTATTAACCCACATCACCCCAATACATTTCATTAAAAACCAAAACTTGATGATTTAAATTATGGCAAACATCATAATAATTTTCTTTGTGAATGTCTACAATTACATCATTGAATGAGCTAGGTTTCCAAATTAGACCTGGTTCATACAGTAGAATTAAACACAGAAATGGTGAGCCCACTTAATAGGCAATATAATGGTAATAAATGCCATCCTGGAATTTGGGGACTCATTTGTATTTGAGAAAATATGTAATGTTGTGGACAAAAAGGAGGTAGGAAAAGAGCATTTTTATGAAAAACAGTATCAACTAAAAAGGAAAAAGAAAGAGCTTAATAGGAACATACACTGTGTTGTAGTTTTATCTTAAATCCCTATTCATTTAGCCCCAATTCCCTTAAGGTACAATTTTCAGTCAAAGCCACAGCTGTATTCAGTCTCTTGTCCATCATTATGGGCTTTGTTCTTTACAATTTAATTGGAGGCTTTATATTAAAATGAACCTCAAAGCAATTCTGATGGTTCAGTTTTTCATTGCTTCAGTAATAAAATACCACTTGTTTTTATAACCATGGGCGGCCATGTAATTACCATCAGGAGAAATAAAGAATCCAGCCTCCCTTTCTCCTATGGTGTGAGTATAGTGTTGAAAACTTTCACAAATGAAACTGAAATGACCTTTGGCTATTTTGTAAGGAATTATAAGTCTAAGCTGTGGCCTCTCATCAGAAGTAGTGTTCTGTTACTTTCAGAAATACTCTTTGGCAAGGTATATATTATATATTCTCAGGTTCAACAGAGCCCCTATAGAGTAAATTATTCCTTCAGTGATGAAATATTCTTATTTATCTCTCAGAGTGTTACTTATGTTTAGTCAGGAATGTAAGAACTGTCTGATGGTCCAATGTCTAGCCTCAGCCAAAACTGTTCAGCACATGAAAAAAAAATCATAGAATAAATAATTGCATATATCTACTTTTACTCTCTTTTGAGCAATTTTGAACGGCAATCATTTTAATTACAGATGGTGTATATGAATGCATGAGAGCAGCTGTTAATATGCATGTTTTAGACTGGAGAGTGTGGTGACTTATCTAGACACAAGGGCAACATATGTTGAGCTAAGCATACGAATTGTAACATGAATTACGATGTTAATACGCAGGGGCACAGAGGGACACAGCCAATGGATGCCTGTTCCCATTTAATCAGCTAACATTTTCTAACATATGCTAGAGAAGGCTTCCTATTATTTTAACTGAGGGAATACCATAGATCACGAACCTTGATAACACCTTAAATCAGCTTCAGACATTTTGAAACATGTAACTATTTTTCCTGTGAGTGCAAATTCAGAGGCCTTTAAATTTCTTTATTTTCTTTCCTTTCCTTTTCTTTTCTTTTAATTATCATTCAAGAGAGTAATTGGAAACAAATGAAAGCTAATAGGACCATCTTGACAAAACCTCAAAATATGGAAACAGATTGTGTTTTCCTGCATTAAGCATTTTATCACATTACACGTTTGATGGAGGAGATGGTTTAGTTATCTTGAATGCTATTAGTTAAGTTTACGAACTAGCTGGTCGGAGATAGTAGAGAGCAAACACATTACCTTCTCTTGATACTGCCGTCTGGAGGAATCCAGAGACTGGATCAGAGCCGTGGCGTGGCCCACGAACATGGCGTAGCAGGTGGCGCCCACGATCATGCTGAGCATGGTGATCCACAGGTCCGACATGCTGACCGGGGCCTGTGCGCCGTACCCAATGCACAGCATGTGGCTCATGGCCTTGAAGAGCGCATAGGAATACTGCTTCCCCCAGGAGTCGTTCTGGAACAGAGGAGAGAGAGAGAACATGGACTGAGCCAGCATTTAAAAACAATATTGTGGTCTGATTATGTGTCATACAATAAATAACAATACCGTATTATTGTGAGCAGAATAATAATACTGTATTATTGAGAGCAGAATAATAATACTGTATTATTGAGAGCAGAATAATAATACTGTATTATTGAGAGCAGAATAAAATGTGAGCATGGTCTTATGCGGAAGTATTCCAGTTACTGAGAGTGGAGACACCTGGCAATGCAGCATTTGCACAGATGTCTCTCCTCATGGCTCATAGACCGACTGATGGTTTTCCAAGCCTGCCTGGCACTATAATCTAGACCAGTGGTCGGCAAACTCATTAGCCACAGAGCCAAATATCAACAGTACAACAATTTAATAAATTTCTTTTGAGAGCCAAACTTTTTTTTAAACTTAAACTATATAGGTAGATACATTGTTATTAACTTAATTGGGGTACTCCTAAGCTGTTCTTTGCTAAAATCTCAAGGGGCCAAAGAGCCACATGTGGCTCCATAGCCGCAAGTTGCCAACCACTGACCTAGACATTGTCCACTGTTCAGACATGCCTGCCTATTCAATTTTAGGTTTGTTGTTTTTAAAACTAAAATCACTTTTGAGACAATGGTGTGGGCATCACATAAAAATGCCAAGGATGAATGCTGATGAGCTCATTTCAAAGTTTCCAGGAAATCTGGCCTTTCTAACATCCTTAATCTCATATTTCTTATATTTCTGAAGCCCATAATCTTATATTTCTTAAATAAAAAAAATAAGCATTCTGAAATACAAGTCTGATAAATGGAAAGATTTCCCTACAAATGTTAGGGTTGATGATGAATCTCGTTGGCATTTTAAAAAATACTAAAATAGATTAAAATAAGAAAATCGTATCTTGGCAAATCTCTGGAGAAAAAAAGAAAGATGACTTCTGAGATTAGTTAGTAGATGCAGTTTATGATGTCACTTCAAAAGTTTATGCTAGCCGAAACCGGTTTGGCTCAGTGGATAGAGCGTCAGCATTCGGACTAAAGGGTCCCAGGTTCAATTCCGTTAAGGGCATGTACCTTGGTTGTGGGCACATCCCCAGTAGGGGATGTGCAAGAGACAACTGATCGATGACTCTCTCTCATTGATGTTTCTAACTATCTCTCTCACTTCCTCTCTGTAAAAAAAAAAAATCAATAAAATATATTTTTAAAAAGTTTATGCCAACCTCAATTCTCCAAAAATAAGCTGTTCAATATAACTTATCTACCCTGTGATAAAATTATTATTTTTTGTTTAATTTGCATCAAATTCTCTAGGCCCAGACTTAATTTATGAAGCCTACTATAAACTGAAACGTTGGACACTTTAGTTCAGAACTCAGAAAAAAAAAAAAAAACCACACCAACATTGTTAAAGATAAAATATATAAATATTTTTCCATTAAAATATATTATTACAGATCTTAATGGGGTAATAGTGACTGATTAGTAACAACATAAATGTACACATTTAAAAATAATATTGTGGTATGATTATATACCATAAATACTGTATTATCATAATACTATATTATTATGATACCTTGATTGGTCACACACTTTTTCTGGTTTATTTTCTGCAAAGTCACTTCCTTGGTATCAAAATTCATTCAAATAGTAATTTTATTTTTAATGAAAAAAATGAAAGTGGCATCAGTTGCTTTTGGCTAACAAGATTACAAATAATTCTTGCTGCTTTTTTTTTAATTTCAAGAAAGATCTTTTTGTTGATGCAACTTTTTATGGAGTTATTAAGAGCATTCTGTAGGCTGCAATAACATTGGGATGAATTTCTGATAAATAATTTTAACATATAAATATTAGTACATTGGAACTTATTCTCATAGAAGAATTTATCTACAAAGACAAAAGACTTCAAACAAGTCAGTTTCATGTATGTATAAATGTGACTTAAAATTAATCCTTGTATGTTAATTATAGTTTAAAATGCCAATTATAAAAAAAATTGTGCTGTGCCAGCATGGTCATGGGTGAACCTGAGGGGTGGTGGTGAAGGATTAGGAAAGACAGACAAGAGCATAAAGCTGAGGCTAGGTGGGATGCTGCCCTCTGATTAGAGAGACAGTGCCATGGCCTTCAAGTCAAGTCTTTATTTTATATTATAGCCAGATTCCATGAGGCAAAGTAAGGACATGATCAAGATATTTATAATGTTCTTCTGGGTTTGGAACCTACTCAATTACATGCACCTGATCAAGCTTTGTTTACTTGCTGCATTTCCTGCAGCAGCCCATATCACTTAGCCACATGGGACCACAGTTTGGGTCCATAAGGTCAAGCTTACAACTATAGCCTTTGGCTATACTTGTGCTGGGACTTGCATGTGGCTTTGTGACGAGAGGATTGTGCCCTCTCATTAGACTGAGGCTTGAACCTGTCCAAACACTGTAGCCATTTTTCACAAATAATAGAGATGTACTCCTTCACCAGTTTTCCCCAAAGGTTACATCTATAACATAGGGTCACAGTCAGGAAATTAACATGGATACAATCCAGAGATCTCATCCACATTTTAATAATTTACATGTAGTCATATGTGTGAGTATTTAGTGTTATGCAGTTTTATTGTCTGTGTAGGTCTGTGTCTTAATCAACACAGTCAAGGTACTTAACACCTGCATTCCTTCTACTGCCTTTATACTGAATTTGATGTAAATGTCTAAATGGTATTTTATGATAATATTTTCTCTAACATTTCTGGTAACTTGTTGAGGTCATGCAGGAAACCAAAAGTAACTTTATGATTTGTATACAATCCAAAATTCCTGTTTATATATTATTTTCCCTTGTTTTCAATTATAAGAAAGAGTTTAAATTAAAAAAAATTATCTTCCTTGTTAATAATTAGCTCATTTACAGCTTCACATGAAAATAGTGTTATGTTCCATCAAATGTGATGATCTTTGAATTTAATCTGTATTTCTAGGCTGGTGGATATGTGCTTTGCAATGTTGCAGCTGTTTTCAAAAGTGGGCATTATAAATAACAAAGAATTCTAATAACTCCCACAAATACTTTATTGCAATGTCCATGAGTATTCTCTATTTTGTAGTAATTTATTGGCAGAGTTTATTGCCTGAGCTCTGAGGACACTGCCCTGGAACCTAGGCAGAAGATTTAATATTTATGTGGAGACTGCAGGAACAGGCTCCTGGGAGTGACAGGCAGCTGGCCTCCCAGCCTGGGTTCTCTCCCTGTCCGCCACGGGGGAGCTCCTCCTATTGCGTTGGTGGCCACTGCTGCTGCTGCAGCTGCCATTGCCACTGCTAGCTTGTGAGCTCTGCTTTGGTGACACTGGGCACACCACATCCCAGACTGCTGAGGCATGCCTGTGTGAGCCTGCTGCTTGGCCAACTGCTGGCTCTGCCCTGCCTCCTGTGCCTGCAGGCCCTGCCCTGTGTGTGCCCAGCTGCCCCCCTCAGCCTCTACTCATCATACCCATGCCTCAGTGTCCCGGGGGACTGCACTTGAAAAACATAAAATCAAAAATAAAACAATTAAGAATTTCAAGATAGCAGCAGCAGATCATTAAAGCAAACACAGGGTCCTGCTGACAGTGACTTGAGCAACTACAAGGTCACACCCCACCCACCGCCCAGGAAGCCATTCCTGCCTCAGTCAACTCTTACATGAGCAGAGATGTTTAAAGTTATTTAAAAAATATTAACTATATGTAGGCATTTTGTTCATATTGCAATGGGGTTTTCCAAAATCAAATTTATAGGATATAAAAATTGAACATGACTTTGGGGGTGATGGGCACAAAATGCAATATACAGATCATGTATTGGTCAATCTTATTAACCAAATGTCACTACAATACATTTAATAAAACAAATAATGATGACTTGTCTAATATGTAGCATGCATTCATCACCAAGTGTGCCCTCGTGTGTTAACATATTAGATTTCCCGAGCTCATGCTTCTCATTTTTCCATGTATCTTTCTTTACTCTCCGGAGGGTTCCAAAAAAGCTTGTCAATTAGAAACCCAATAAACAAACTGATAAGTAACAAAAATGTCTTGATGGCCATTTGGAAACAACCAAAGTGTCCTTTGATAGATAACTGGGCAAAGAAGATGTGGTACATACAATGGCATACTACACAGCTAGAAGGAAAGATGAAATCCTGCCATTTGCGACAACATAGATAGATCTTGAGAATATCATACTCAGTGAAATAAGTCAGAAAATATTAACAAACATATGGTTTCACTCATATAAAACTGAAAGCAACAAATGAATAAACAATAAAGCAAATCAACAAAAACTTGTGGACACTAACAATAGCATGGTGATTACCAGAGGGAAGGGAAGTGGAGAATAGTAAAATATAAAGGGGTCAACTCTATAATGATGGAATGTTTCATTTTGGGGGTGAGCGCTTAATGCAATATACAGATGATGTACCATAGAATTATACACTTGAAAATTACATAATCTTACTAACCAGTGTCATCCCAATAAATTCAATTTAAATAATTGAACATTATAAGGTTTAAAAACTCAACCTTATAAACTTTGGACTTGCATGAAGATGCTGACAAAGATAACAAATCCCATTTGGCTGAAAGAGTTAAGTTTCATAAAATAAAATTCACTGTTATTTAATTCTAAAATGAGGTCAAGCTGCCATTTATCTGTCTGTCTGTCCATCTATCTATTTATCTATCCATCCTTCTACTTACTACATGTCCATATATCTACCTGAAGAGTTTCTCATAGATCAGCCAGTTTAAATTATAGAGAAGATATGTAAGAAATAAGGAATATACTAGGAAACAGAGTGGAAGCCAGAATCAGAGGGGTGAGAATATTTTTCAAGGCAAACAGGAGCTGCTGAAAATTTTTCAGCCAGAAGGATATCAACTGAACTTACTTCAGGAAGATGGATCAGGAAGAATTGTTGAGCAGTGGTTCTCCACTG